TTTCAGACCTGGTTTCTAGAGGGGCTGAGTACACACAGGTCCCACTGCCTGGAACTGGAGTTTTCTTGTTCTGGTGACTCTGACATTCAGGACCTTCATCATTCAGAGGCTGACAGGTGGGGTGAGGGGGCTGGAGAAACCCCACTGCTGAGCGGAAGGAGGTCAAAGAGTTGGGATTCTGGGAGCTGATGGGGTCGTTTGCTGTGCTACGGGAAGTGGAGCTGGAGACCGGAGATGCCATGTGAATGAGACTACCCGATGCTCTCTTCATGCCTGAGGGGCTGGAGCCTCCTACTGGAAATGCTCTCAGGAGTCCAGGTTCGAGGACATCTCTGGGGAGCCCCTTCCTAGGAACAAAACCAGGGTGGTACGATGATGGAGACATCTCTGTCCCAGAGCTGGGAGCCAGGGACGGGGGAAGCTCCCAGCCAGGCTATGCATTTCTCCCGCAAGAGACCCACATGTCCCAAGGAGTAAATGGCTCTTACCTCCATGAGGGAGTGGGGTCTTCCACCTAAGCCTCTTTGAGACCCAGCATTGCTTGCTTTGATGGGACGAGGTGACCCATCCCCACTGCTCCCAGAGGTGGCTCAGCTGCGGGCTGCTCCCGTCTGAGAGGCTGTGACAGATCCCAGGGCCTGGAAGACAGCTGGGAAGGAGGTTCCTATTCATTTCACACCCAGAGACCCTGTAGAAGGGCCAAGGGGAGAATAAAGGGCAGGAGGTGAAGCTAGCCCTGAGCCTCTGTCCCACCCCCACCACCTCAAACGTGGAGCTTTCCAAGCTTCAGTGGGGCTAGGGGCTGTGGCCCTGACACAACATCCCTTCTGCACCATATGAGGCAGGGAGAGCTCTGCCTGGGAGCAGGGGGAATGGGATGGGGGTAGACCAAGGCAAAGCAGGAGAGGAATGGGTATGAGGGGAAGAGCTCCTGCCCCAGATGAAGGAATTTGGGGGACAGAGGGAAGGACCCTGCTCTAAAGAGAGGGGAGAGAGTTTCTGTGAGTGCCAGGGGGCTCCATTTCCCCTTCCACTAGCTCCCCATTTACAGTGAGCCAGAGCAGTACCTGCAGCAGGGAGCGGGAGTTGCTGGTGGCCTCAGAGGCACAGCCCCTGCAGTGCCTCAGACACCTGGCACAAGTGCCAGATGATGCGGAGCTGGCGTCCTCCTGCTGCAAGGGAACGAGAACCAGTCAGAGACTCAGACACCCCCGAGGAATCAGGGGGGGATTAAGGGCACTTGGAACCAGCAGCATTTCCACGCAGCACCTGCCCACCTCTGAGGGATGGATTCACTCTCCTGACCCCCAGAATGGGTCTTGTTGTCCTTTCTAGTGACCTCCAGTGCCAACCCCCCTCTCTGTAGGGTGAGTTCCTGCCACCTCCCCCTCAGTGCCCCTGACAGCTGTTCCACCTCCAATCCACAGCTCAAGTTCTCAGAACCCTCTTCTCCACCCCCACTCTAGCAGCGGGGGGGCAGGAGGGATTCTGGCAGCAGTGAAGTGGGATGTGGGGAGGTTGAGACCTTTCCCCAAGTCATCCCAGCCACTAATGCTGAAGCTGCAGGATGGCAGCCCTGGTGAATGGGGCAGATCAGCTGCCCCTGCTGGCTGAATCCTCCCATTCTCTCTAGAGCGGGTCCAGCCCTGCCAGCAACAGGACAAGTTTCCCCGCCCATGTGCCTCAGCCCTACCTGGTCAGTCGCCATCACCAGTCAGTCCTTGGCCTCCCAGGCTGCCAGGCATGGGAGCAACTCTGGGTGGTGGCTTGGGTGACATGGACACTAGGCCACTGGGAACTGGGTGCGGCCCGGTGGGACAGGAGAGGCTCGCAGAGGGGCACTTAGGGGACTCTTCTGCCCTTCCCAAGAGCAACAGCACCGTGTCCTAAGAACATAAGTTTGTGATGAGGCAATGCTTGTCATTAATTAACCTTGCTAAAGAGCTGGTTTGGAGCTGCTCCGGGGACAAGCTGGCTCTCTCCTGCTCATGGAGGTGAATTCATCTCCCTTTCCAGTAGCACCTGTTCTCACGCTCATTCCCCACCAGGCTCCTTGCCAGGACTGGCTCTAGGTTTTTTGCCACCCCAAGCAAAAATATGTTGGCTGCCCCGACCCCAGCCCTGGGCTCCCCCCACACTTCCCTGCCGCCCCAGCCCTGGGCTCTCCCTCCCCGACCTGCACCCCCTACCGCCCCAGAGCTGGGCTCTCCCCCCGACCCCACCCACACTCCCTGCTGCCCCAGCGCTGGGCTTCCCCCCACCAGTGCTGACTCCGCCCGCTCCCCCCTTGCCTCCAGCCGGTCTGGCGCTGGCAGAGTCGGGATAAGCAGCGGGGCTCCTGGACCACGCCTCAGCTCAGGGTCCCTCCAGCCGGGGCTCCTGCCTCCATAACCAGCCGGGATCCGGGAAGGCAGAGCCGGGGGACCACCCGGCAGAGGGCTGAGGAGCCAGGGCAGGGCAGCCCCAGAGGGAGCGGAGCCCCGGAGAGCGGGACGCGGGCCCTGCACAGCAGCGCCCCGGGCACCAGTCCCCACTATGGCCCCGCTGCTGCTGCTGCTCCTGGCCGCCCTGCCGCAGTCCCTGGACAGCTCGGGCTGCTTCGCCCCGCCCCGGCTGCGGCACTGGGGGGCGGCCCGCCCTACGGC